GGTTCAAGTGCTTCTCCTGCCTCAGCCTCCTGAGTAACTCAGACTACAGGCACCCCACCACCACGCCCGGCTAATTTTTGTATTTTTTTTTTTTTTCAGTGGAGACGGGGTTTCACCATATTGGCTAGGCTGGTCTCAAACTCCTGACCTTGTGACCTGCCCGCCTCGGCCTCCCAAAGTGTTGGGATTACAGACGTGAGCCACCACACCTGGCTAATTTTTTGTATTTTTGGTAGAGATGGGGTTTCACCATGTTGGCCAGGTTGGTCTTGAACTCCTGAGTTCAGGTGATCTGCCCACCTCGGCCTCCCAAAGTGATGGGACTACAGATGTGCGCCACCATGCCTGGCCCTAAAGACTTTCTTTTTTTTTAAGGTGAAGTCCTGCTCTGTCACCCAGGCTGGAGTGCAGTGGTGTGATCTTGGCTCACTGTAACCTCCACCACCCGGGTTCAAGTGATTCTCCTGCCTCAGTCTCCCGAGTAGCTGGGATTACAGGAGCCTGCCACCACACCCAGCTAATTTTTGAATTTTTAGTAAAGATGGGGTTTCACCAGGTTGGCCAGGCTGGTCTTGAACTCCTGATCTCGTGATACGCCTGCCTTAGGTTCCCAAAGTGCTGGGATTACAGGCATGAGCCACCGCAACCGGCCAAGACTTTTTTTTTTTTTTTTTTTGAGTTGGAGTCTCACTGTGTCTCCCAGGCTGGAGTGCAGTGGTATAATCTCGGCTCACTGCAAGCTCCGCCTCCCGGGTTCATGCCATTCTCCTGCCTCAGCCTCCTGAGTAGCTGGGAATACAGGCACCTGCCACCAAGCCCCACTAATTTTTTGTATTTTTAGTAGAGACAGGGTTTCACTATGTTAGCCAGGATGGTCTCTATCTCCTGACCTCGTGATCCGCCCGCCTGGGCCTCCCAAAGTGCTGGGATTACAGGTGTGAGCAACTGTGCCCAGCTAAGACTTTTTAATATTTATATGAGAGCAGCTAAGGAGAGCACTGGGGCCAGTGTAACTTCACTGAGCTTATGCCTTATTGTTGGTTAACTCAGGGCAATCAGTTGAATATCTCTTTGGGTCTCGTCTCTATGTGGAGTCCATTTTGCTTTTTTCCTAGGTAATGGACTGCATCCACATTTTATCCACATTTGTTCGTAGGAGACCAGGTTAGAGTATGCTTACTTCAGTGTAAGCTACTGCCACCGTAGAAAATCAAATCACAGGAGAATGATATTTGAACATCAAGGCAGTCATATTTCATCCAAATTTTTAGCAAGACCAGGGAAAAGGGCTGAAGCTATAGGTGTTAAGGCCTAGGTTTCCCAAATATCTTGCCAACTCTCCTTTTCTCGATTTTTTTGTTTTGTTTTGAGACAGAGTCTTGCTCTGTTTTTCAGGCTGGAGTGCAGTGGTGCGATCTTAGCTCACTGCAACCTCTGCCTCCCGGATTCAAGCAATTCTCTGCCTCAGCCTCCCAAGTAGCTGGGATTACAGGTGCCCGCCACCACACCTGGCTAATTTTTTGTATTTTTAGTAGAGACAGGGTTTCACCATCTTGGCCAGCCTGGTCTTGAACTCCTGACCTTGTGATCCACCTGCTTCGGCCTCACAGAGTGCTGGGATTACAGATGTGAGCCACCGTGCCCAGCCTCCTTTTTTAATTTTAAGTTAGCTTTCTTTCACACTCACATGTGCCAGGGTGACTTTCTTCGCCCTTCACTGCCCATCCAGTAAGCATGCTAAGGTAATGCAAAAACATTTTAATATTAGACCAAGAAAAAATAAATTAGGAAGGAAAACCTGTTGCCATAACAAGTACAAAGATTCAAAAATTCAACTCAAGATATATACCATTTGCTCCCATAACTTCCTATTTTTTGCAGGTATATAGCTGTAAGCTATATAATGTGTGGGTGAGAGAGGGATGGAGGAAGGCCAGGGTGGGCAGTGGGTTATATAAGAACTATTGTTGGCTGGGTGCAGTAGCTCACACCTGTAATCCCAGCACCTTGGGAGGCCGAGGCGGGTATATCACGAGGTCAGCAGATCGAGACCATCCTGGCTAACGCGGTGAAACCCCATCTCTACTAAAAATACAAAAAATTAGCCAGGCGCGGTGGCAGGCGCCTGTAGTCCCAGCTATTCAGGAGGCTGAGGCAGGAGGATGCCGTGAACCCGGGAGGTGCAGTTCGCAGTGAGCAGAGATTGAGCCACTGCACTCTAGCCCGGGAAACGGAGGGAAACTCTGTCTCAAAAAAAAAAAAATTAAAAAAAAAGAACTATCGTTTACTACTAGTGGCTGCCTAGAGCATAATTTCCCCGTTCAAAGCCTTGGTAAGAGCAGCTGGGGAACAGTGGTTAAAAATGCTTTGTTTTACACCCAGCAAAAAGGGTCATTAACACCTCAACTGTTTTTGTTTTGTTTTGTTTTGGTTTTGGTTTTTTTTGTTTTTACCAAGCCCTGTGGAAGGGCTCCTGCTGCTGTTGACAATCATGGTAACCCTCGGGGTAGCAGGGGCAAAGGGGTGGATAATTCACCACAAAATGGTATTCACTGATTTGGATTATGTGCACCACTGTTCCTCTCCATTCATGTGCTTAATTAAGAGCTGACTAGTACAAAATAAATGAAACTGCAATTCTTCACTAGAACTATCTGGGGAGCAACAGAAATTCTGCAGGGAGGGTATGTGCCAGAAAAACTCCTTTATTACCATCTCCCTATTATATATTTCTATTCTAGGGTTAGTGTTAATGTCAGGTCTCATTCTTAAGGCAGCAAAAGGCCTGGAGAAGTAGTATAAGTTTCATCTTCATTTTATCAAGGATGAAATCAAAGCAAGGAGCTGTGACTAGGACAATACAGTTAGTCTAGGGCATAACTCCCAACCACGCTGGGGAAAGCCCAGTAGGAACACAGGGCTATAGTTGGCTCAACTCTTATTCATGACAACGTGTTTCACATCATTCAAAAGTTTTTGTACAAGTCTCTGTAGTGACCAGCTGATACTGCCTGGGAGTTATTTCCATTTGTTCAGTCCCTGAGGGGAGAGAAAATGGAATTATTGCTTTCTTATAGTTCAATTAGGCAAATGTGGATAGAGGGTATTGAACTTAGTTCACAAAGGGTGCCAAAATCCACACTGCTCCTTTAAAAAAAAAATGCATGAAAAGTTACAGCAAGAAGTCAGGGCCTCAGGCTGGGCATGTGGCTCACGCTTGTAATCCCAGCATTTTGAAGGGCTGAAGTGGACGGACCACATGAGGCCAGGAGTTTGAGACCAGCCTGGCCAACATAGTGAAACCCTGTCTCCACTAAAAATACAAAAATTAGCTGGGCATGGTGGCACACACCTGTAATCCCAGTTACTTGGGAAGCTAAGGCATGAGAATCGCTTGAACCTGGGAGGTGGAGGCTGTAGTGAGCTAACCGCGCCACTGCACTCCAGCCTGGGTGACAGAGCAAGACTCTGTTTCAAAAAAAAAAAAAAAGAAGCCAGGGCCTTGGATTTCACAAACTAATGTTTCATCACCTCCTTCCCCACCTCAAGATAACTGCCAGGACACTAGGACACTCTTTTTTGTTTAATACTTAAGACAGGTGAAGAGAAATCATTCGTGGGGTCTGTCCTTCCCATAGTCCTTTTGATCACAGTTTTCCCATGAGCTTCAAAATAAAAGACTATAAACTGAAGGTTTACTTTAAATTACCTAAGTCCCTGAAATAGAAGAGTAATTTATTTTTAGTATTAAAGAGATTAACAAGTCTCATTATTCTGACTTATCCATATTCAAAACTCACCTATTCAGAAAACTGCAAATCCATGGTTGCTAACAATCCGTATTTAACCATTAAGAAAGGATTTACAACAATACAAGCTATGTACATAGGAAATATCAGAGAGTAGGAAGTGCTAACCAGAGGTACCCAGAAAAGCTTTTTGTGACTGAAATAATACTTCCTGTCTAAGGTTCAGGAGTAAGATGCTTCTTTAGGGGCTGAGAAATTAACATGAGAAACCTTTGGTATCCAAACTGGACTTCTGAGCTCTTTGCCATGGCATTTTTGGCTAGTCTAATGCAATCATTTGGAGAAAGCAACACCGAGGATGAGGTGGAAGAATTCTCAACCTCGGACCAATCTCTGGCCCCAGGGTTAGGACTGAGAACAAATACACTCAAGGGCTGACTTTGAATGGCAGTGGGACAACTAGGAAAACCAATCACTTAGTATCAAGTCAGGCCTGTTGTGAATACCCAGGTTGGCTCTATCCCAGGGCCCTTGTACTGAGACCCTTGGAAGAATGATAGGTGAGAGGATGATACAGCTAGAGTTATGTGACTTAAAGGTAGCAACCCACAAGGATGGCAGCAGAAGTCCTTAACAGTGACCTTCAGATCAGTGACACAACTCCACTGTTAGTGGCAGCAGGGCTGAGTAAATCCCTAATAATTTCGGGTTAGGCAGGATCTTGACTCATATAACTCATGGCAGAAGCTACAGGTTCTACTCTATAAAATCTCTGTATACATCCAAGAGGTTGGGACACTCAGAGAGAGTGGCAGAACACATGGTCTTCAAAGATCTGCTTCTCTGTAGCTGGGAAGATCTTGTCACAAATTGGACAATTCAAACAAAGGGCCTGCATCTGCTGTTGCTCCAAGGTGTGATCACAAATATCATCTGCTTTGCAGATAGGACATTTCTTGATGGAGAGCTGGGAGGAAGAGTAAAGAGGTCAGTACAAATGTAAGCTATATGTGGCACAGATGTGGCCATCCTGTCTTCCACTATATCCTCAGTGCCTAGCATAATGACTGGCACATGGTTAGGCGCTCAAGAAATAGTGAATGAATGAAGAGAATGCACATTTGGAGATACTTACCAGGCTTCATCTAACCCCAGAATTGAAAGCGCCTAATATTGCTGAGTAGCCAAAGTAGCTTCTAGCCTAGAAGGGGCACTGGACAGAACTTGTTTGGCTAGCTGCCGGGTTCAGATCTCCTCCCTACTTATGCTACCAAACAGCTTAAAGGTATAGATCCTAAGCAAAATGCTGATGGATGAACTGTGCTTTCTTTTCCCTTCCACAACAGGCTGGCTCAGCCTTGGGCCCAGAACAAACGGATCCAGCTGACTTCCGGAGTTATCAAAATGAACCTGTCTCCCTATGGTTCTCCCATGAACTGCAAAAGGAAGGGAAATTTTCAGGGGCTTTGTGGGAATATTCTCATGAATCAAATACTTACCTGGCTGGGGGAAGAACTTTCTTGGATACCTGAGAAGAATCAAAAAGATCTCATTCAATGAGAAAACACCACCCTAGCTTCTTCTCATATGTACTGCTGATAGAGGGGATCTAGGTCAATGATAAGGTGAAAAGAAAACATAAATAATGAAATCTTTTTTTTTTTTTTTTTTTTTTAGACAGAGTCTCACTCTGTCGCCCAGGCTGGAGTGCACTGGCGCGATCTCTGGTTACTGCAAGCTCCGCCTCCCGGGTTCACACCATTCTCCTGTCTCAGCTTCCCAAGTAGCTGGGACTACAGGCGCCTGCCACCACACCTGGCTAATTTTTTGTTTATCTATTTTTAGT